ACACTTAAAGTGTTTTGAATCAAAACACTACGATTTGCAGTGTCATCACTTTACCATTTCCAGTTTCAGAATAGGTTAAGACAGATTTTTTGGTAAAAATAGTACATCTTATAAGACCCAAACTGAATGATTCTGAATTAATATTCCACAAACTTTGCATGAAAAACTATTTAATTCTTTTTTCAAATCAATTTATATATCAATGAGTATGCTTTTAAAAAAGATGCCTCCTCAATCATAATTATGGAATCAAAGATCACTTTGTCATGTGAAAAATCACAAGACATTGTTGAGAAATATGAAAATCTTACTTAACAGAAATAACTTGCTTTTAATTTTTGTCAAAAGTTTCTGTTATAGATGTAAATTTTATCTTAATCTGAATGATTCAAAGAACAATGTAGATGACACTTTGCAAATTGTTAGCTGTTCAGTATTCTCGTCTAAATATTTTTCAGTAATTTACAGTTCAATTTTCAACTTTCAGACACCTTCATGTTATCCTGCTCTATTGTATAATTTCTACTCTATTTTTCAAATTAAATTTGACTTTACTATGCTCTCCAAGTATTTAAATAGTTTACAGTTGACGAAATTCCAAATACTTTCTTTTTATTCTATATGGAAATGATCACAAGGTGAGTATTTTGCTATATTGCCCTCAATAATTCATTGAATGTTTTTTATGTTATTTTGTTCTAGACCACATACTCCCGAATATTTGTCTACGTCTGAACTGCAAATCAATGAATTTGGTTAACCCACCATCAGTAATACATAAATATTATAAGCCACGCGATTTCTCGATAGACATCTCCAAGAATTACTTGGTAGAAAAAGTTCTTATTCGAAGGTCAAGGATCCCGAGTCGAAATAATGGGCCTGGTTTGAATCTCCAAAGCCTCTTTGATAATAAACATGAAATTATGTTTCTTCGTTTTTGTTTGTTTATAAATTTTTTAAAACTTAATCAAATTCACTGAGGAATGCAGTAAAATTTACTAGACTGCTCAGTACAATGCAAAAAAATTTTTTCACAGTATAGATATTTAACAGTGTTTCAAAAACCTACTTTAAGTCTTTGCAAGAAAAAAAAGAACATTCATGACGAATTGAAGATTAAACCAGGCTTTTAATTTTATACGAATAAATTACTCCAAGTACTGATTTCATTCTTTTAAGTCTAGATGTAGAGGTTTAGTTGATTTGCGCCAGGTTGTCATTTTTGACTCGAGATACGACATGCTTTCCAACTTACAGATAACAATAAAAAAATTTGAAGAAAAAAATACAATATAATTCATCAATATACTTTTCAATAGTATATTTAAATATATTCTTATCAGTAATTATTAGTGCTCTTTATAATAAGGCTACAATTATTGATAATTTCTTGAACAATTTCCCTCAACTTAAATTTTTACCTGTTAATGATAAAATGACATAATGTCTCCATTTATCAAACTATTAAGATATTTTTGTCAACGAGTTAACTAATGTTCAACCAACATACGTATCTCTTAATTTCTATTAATTTACATGTTAACAATTGAAACCAGTCATATACGTGTTACTATTTACTATCATTAGCTTATACAGATGTGAATAATACACGAAATCATTACCAAATTGCGCGTCATTTTTTAGAGATTTCGAGGTCGAATGGTTTTGTGTAGTTTTTAACATAAAAAAAAGGGCACAGAAAAAAATTGAAGTCTAAAAACAGAAAAATACAACGTTCCGGATGAACAAAAAACACACTCTCATAATATAAAAACAAAGCTGTTTATAAAACGCTTAAAACTTGTTTTAAACTCTTTCCCTTATTTCCATGTAAAAATAGAACTTTTTTATATTAATGTTTTTTAGCAGTTAATAAAATTTTTTTAGAATCATCGATCAGAAGTTTCTTAGCTTTTTGTTGTGACTCAATGTTGTCATAGTTAAAGAATTCAATTTTTTTTGCAAGTAAACGCCAATGAAGCTGAGAATATTATTTAACATCAATAACAAAATAAGTGAAGCGGAGAAGGTCGCATTCATATGTAAATTGAGCCACTTCATTGATCTTTAGTAAAGACTATACACGTATATAAATGCAAAAAATTCTTTTACATGTGCTGATAACAAAAATATATTGACTCGTTATTTTAAACATTCATTGTTAAAAATTGTTACATTATTCAAGTGATAATGTATTTAAATATTTGAATGTTAGCAGAAATTTGCATAAAAAAGTGTTCGAGTGAAAATCTTTTTTTATTGATGTCTTTAAGCTGAAATTAATCTTCATTAAAACTTGAAGTGTGATTGAAATTCCTGCACTCTAGATGATATGATAAGAAATGCATCAAATGAAATGACTGTCAGAGTTCTAATTGAAATTCTATTGATGGTTTTAAAGATTTAATTGTTTGTATTTTTACATTTTTAACGATTAACTTGAATGAAGTTTCAATGTCATCGATGTTATCGACAAGTTCGAACATCCTACTTCAATTTTCAAGGAAATTTTTCGCCAACGTTTCAATTAATAGACCTGTCTTTGCATTAGCGACAACTGAAAAATTAAAAAAAATGTCATTAAAGTATCTCTATCTTTAGTTATTGACGACAAAATTCAATATAGTGTCAACAACAGGTACATAATATTATTAAATCTTTTTGAAATCATTTTGTTTCTAAAAAATTATAAGAAAAAGAATTGAATAATCATCATTTCTATCAATCTCAAAAATTCATTTCTTTTTCTTTGGAAAAATTTTTCTCTATAATGGATTTTTCTTTAAAAATTGTGAGAAGTCATTTTTAATTTAAGGTATATTGCAAATCTTCCTTCACTGACGAAAGAGCCAAGATATCAAGAAAGATTCGGTTGTAGTTAACAAATCCGATACTTGAATATGGCGAAATGAATATTTAGTTACTAAAAATCAATTATATATTTGAGCTTTCTAGTTGAAACAAGTATTTATTTGATTATAATCATCAAATCATTTTTTCAGATGGATTAAATGCTTTGTTAAGTTAAAAAAAAATATTAGTTTGGTTAAGTAATTATGAATTTGAATGAGCATTACATAAATTGATAATTGTATCATATTATACTCGAAAAAAAAAATTAAGAAATTTTAAATCATTTACACATTTAATTTGATTTTATATTATTCTCATATATTGTATGAGTTTTAGTTCGATCTTCTCATTTTTTTTTGTCTAAATAAAATTTGTTGTTTGAGAGATTTGAACCTACGACCCCTAAAACGCGCTCGCGACCTAATCTACCGCTTTAACCCGCACGGTTATTTCGGTGACCATTTTGTGTTGCAAATATATGTATTTATTTACATACATGTTTGTTATAGTTAGTATTTGAGTATTTACTCCACATATATATGTATAGGTATTACTTTAGTTGAAAATGGAAGTGCAAGTAAAAAATAATAAAAGTAATTACAATATCAATTGTTTAATTCGATTGTTGTCTCAACTAAAATTTGGTAATCATGAAACAGCATTTAGAGAGAATTAAATTTTTTTGTACGGACCACATATTATATTTAATGGAATATTTGAAAACTTGTACCCAGCAATATCTTCTTTTAAGAAATAACCAGTATTGTTCAATTGAATGAATTATTAGCTCTCTTAAGATATGATGTAGTCATTATTACTAAATTTTTATTAATTATTACTAAACCGAAAATAGTGAATAATAATGTACATCATAGCAATATCTGTTTATGCCAACTAAATGCTTTCATATAAATACACTGCAAATCCAAGTGTGTTATTCTTGTAGACACTTTTAACACACTAAGCCTCTTCAATGTTAAATAACATAAACAAACAATAGATTTTTCACATACTATAAAATGTGTAAAATGTATCTACAAATCATGAATAGCTTATTTATGAACATTTTACATTAAACACACTTTATGCGTGTTATTTCAATACGTTTGTGAAATCTTGGGATTTGCAGTGTACTTGCTTTGATTTAAGATATACGAATTTAATGGGCTATGATTACATTTGGTAATATTTACTGAAATTTGTTAATAAGTGTTGTTGAAAAATGTATGTTAAATCGGAATTATGCAATTTATTATTTATTCCATAGGGTCTCTACAATTTTCATTTGTAATCAACGTTTTATAATAAAGATCTGTAACGTCTTTTAAATAAAAATGACTCTACGTAATTTTCGATCTGAAACAATAGACGACTGTGCATTAGAATGAAATTTACAGTTTCTTTTTCTCTGTGTACTCTCTAAAAATGAATCAGTGAATATTCACTGATTTACTGATTCATGTTTAGAGAGTAGAGAGTAGATTAAAAATTTCTAATGTTTCAAATATTAGAACGCCCGTTAGTTGATGCTGAAAATTATAAAAAAATTTAAAAAATTCTATTGTTGTAGAAGAATTCCAAGCAACGAAAGCTTTATTTTTTCCCGCTATTTAAATCGATCTCTCACACCAAGTGCCCATTATTTACAATCCATCGTCCATCACATAGCTCCATTAGTATAGCCTGAAACATTTAACAGGGTAATTCTGGTTAGATCAAAACTTCAAATAGTGTACTTTATTCAAAAGCATAACAGCCATTTTGTTTAATCAAAGAAGTGCGCGCGCCAACCACAAGAGAGCGCGTTATTCAAAGCACGATTCGTGTTGCAAAAATAGAATGATTTTCATGATTTTCTCTTTTTTTATCATTTTTATATCTCAGATGTGTTAACTTTACAGTTGGCAATTTAGTAAAGTAAATAACGAACAATTTTTCACGTTTATAAAAAATGGAATTCCAACAGCGTCCTTCGACGCCACGGCACGTTACACGGTCTCGGTCCTCGAGTTTCCACCTCGGTCTATGTGTCCCCTTCTCTTTACCCTCGACCCTCCCTGTCAAGAAGTTGTGAAGGTGCCAGGGAGGAGGGGATCCACAAGCGCACGGCTGGCCTATACTCAGTCCTCGTTCGCCAGCCGGCCGTCTACCAAAGGTGGCTGCGGCTGACAGTTCGCGCCTTCATTTTATAGTTGCACGTAATGAGGTGCACATTAATTTATTGTTTATTTATCATTTATTATTTTTCATCTGTTGTATTTGCATATTTATTACATATCGTTGCGTTAATGGGAACTAAAATAAGTGTCGTGACCTTAATACAACTCTTCTTTGATCTCTCAATTACTTCGGCTAACAAGTTGATCGAAAAAATAATCATTTTGTCTCGACGCACTTGCACAATTACCTATTCGATCGCTTCAAGAGACAATACAGTACATAGAAAGAGAACACTATTTACTCGTGGATTTTTTTTTGTATTTTTAAATTGCTGTCAATGGCTATTAGTGAGAGTGAGAGATACAAGAGGAACGCCGTAAAGAGGAAACCGGAAGTGGAGGCGGACCAATTTGATGATCGATCTAGTAATGAATCGTTAAAAGGTAGGCTACAAGGTTACTCATTGGAGGAAATTTCTTTTTTTCGGATTAATTTCAAATAAACAACCGTTAATATTTATTTCATTTTTGGAAAAAAAAATAATTTTTTTTTTTTTTTACATTTATTATTGAATTATGTTTCTCCGGATACAGTTGATTCGTTTTGAAAAATTGTCACAGAAGAAAATCTCAGTGTCTGTGAGCGAAAATTTCTGATAGTTCAGTAGACACCCATGTAAAAAAATCGTTCAGCAAAAGGTTCTCATGTTAATCACGGTAAACTTTCTTATCTTATGAGACAATAATAGACATATAGTGAACATTAAAAGGATCTGTTTGAAAAATTATACACTATTAATTACTAGAAAATTATTAAACATTAATTGGTACAAGCCTTTATCAGTGGTAAGGTTAATAAATTTTGAAAATAATCACATTTTTATGAGTAATTGCATCGTAATTTCAGCAAACTGTCACTCAACAAATTACAATAGAAATAAGTTTCAATTGAAAACAATACAAGTAACATATTATATAATGCATAATTTTTTTATCATAAATAAACAATTCAATAATAATTTTTTTTTGTTTGCAATTTCATTCTTCGTCATTATTATTAATTTTTTCTATTTGCTGATCATCTCTGGTACCTCTGATTTATTTGTTCAATTGCTATTAACGTCATAACACAATTTTTTCTAGATAAAGTTTTTTTATATTCTCATATCACCTATATGCATCATTATATATCTATCATTAATTACATTAATCTCAACGCAAGAATGTATTCACAGAAACATCAATCGCCACAAATATAAATATTATGTGTCGATGAAATTAATAGTAGGTAATTGGTTTTTCTGAGAATTACTATCCAATATACACAGACTGTTGAAAGCTTGAAAAAATTTAAATTTTACATTCATTCCCGCTAAGTCAGCTTTCGAGATTAACATTCATAAAACTCGGCCTTAAGTTAATACCTAGACATTCATTTTCCTAAATGATTATTTCATGAATGAAGTAAGAAATTTGATGGCGAAATTTTAGAATTGACAAAAAATTAGTATTCTCTCAAGTGTAAATATTGTACACGCGCACGTGCGCGCGCACCCTTTCACGAGTATTGCGCGTGCGTACTTGAAGATCTTTGAATGGTTATGATAAGGAGCAAAGACCAAGACTCTTTGGCCCCGATATCGATTCGAGACTTGATTGTCAAAACTAAGAAATGCCTGAGTGCTTAAATTCTTCTTTTCTTCAGTCTATTATGCATAAATCATTGTTAAATTACTATAAATCCACCAAGAAAAATGACTTATCATTCTGCTAAATTTTCCAACTTGATTGATGTTTCTCCATTACCTACAATCCAAAAGTCATAGTCAAATTCCTAGAAGACGCTGCTAGGCGTAGAATATGAAATACAAAATAATGTCCATTCGTTAAATACGGAAGTAATAAGATGGTACTTAATAGTCAACACACTTTGAGGTGAATGTACGCTCAAAAAGGACCGAATGAAAATGTATAGGCAGTAATAACGTATAATTACATAGATAAAAACCATAAATTTTCGGATAAGTTATACAGAAATAATAAAAAAGAAAACAAAATTCTAATCATACACTACACTGTGATCTATTTCAGTTACGGCCACTGGCTTTTGCGAGTTCAGCCGTGCTCAACCATGTCAACTAATTGTTTTTCTGAATAATTTCAAGTAAAACAATCAAACATAAATAATAATTTGAATAGCCATTCAAATGATCTCCACAAAACAATTAAAAAATAAATTACAAATGATTTTGAATTTTTGTTTTCCTGAAAATGACAAAACAACATTCATCGACGTGTTAGAATATCTAATGCTGGTGTTAAAAAAAATGACAATCACTGCACGAATAGAATTTGGTACCGGCTGGCATCATAATAGTTATCATTACTCGTACAGCTGTTTGCTTTTTATCAATTTTATCCAATGTATATAAGTCTAAAGCTTCACTTAAAAATACGAAGGAATTTCATCTATAAAACTCATGTGTATGACAGGTGTTTAAATAAAATATCATCATGTATTCTTTAAATGGTATGCATTTATTTACACAAAAGTCCTCAAAGGTACGATTTTCAAAAATATAGTATTTGATATAATCTACAAAAAAATTTACCACATTTTTAAGGAGATTTTTACGCAACTAACAGTATGATATAAAATAATGTATGTTAAAAATAAATAGAGTTATAATTAAATGAAACTTGAAAATACAAAATGTATTTTAAAAAAAAGTTGCCAATTTTTGATAATTTAATTTACAAAACAGGGTAAATACACCAATGAGTGGACATGTATGCAGTTAAGTTCAAAAAATGAGCGAAAAAAAGACAATAATTTTGAATTTAGTGTTTAACTTCACTTTAAGCTCAACTCTATAAATTTATTGCCATTAAATTGAATAATAAAATCCATAGAAAAGAAATTGTATTTTCTTAATTGTTTACTATCATTTAAAAAATTGTTTATATTTGTATCTTTTATATATGCTAAAATATCTTGAATGAAATAAAATAATTATTGGCCTTCGCGTGTGAATCACCCCAATAATTATGACTTTACAAAATATATACTTGTCACGTGCGATGAGCAACAGGTCCCATTACTGTTTATAAGCTTTCTGTTCAGAGGAAAATTTTTACCTTTACAAGAAAGACGAGTATAAAATTGATAGTAGCTGTGCATCGTTAGCATTTTTGCTGGTATTTTCATTGTATGATAGTGAGATTAATGAAGAAAATGTTAAAGTGACAAACTGACGACATAAGTGGAATTTGGATAAACAGATGATTAGAGCTCGGGGATCAGATGTAGGTATTCAAGGGTGCGCCTGTACTGGCGGCAAAGTCGTAAAGATCCTAATTAAAGATAATGACGTCATTAAGGTCTCAGCCACGATGAGACGGGACGGTCTGCTGCGCATACTATGCAATTCTAACTGCAGCGGTAAACCCACCTTATCTCTCTCGCGTTCTCGTGAGCTCTCGTCACACATTTTTAACTCCAAAAACCGCTTCATCTGCACTATTTCAATCCGACTTTCGGAGAAAACACCGTAAATATTATGGAATTCTAGATGGTATTATGATGTTCATAGTAATAGATAATGAGAATAAAATGTGGAATCATTTTTTTTTCGATGTGATGACTTAGGGAAAATTTGAGAATGTTATACAAAAGAATTTCTTTAAGTCTCAACTGATTTTTCATTTTTATAATGACATAAATATTGACCTTTTAATAATAAAATATTTTTCTCTTTTTTAGAAAAGATTATTAACAATAAATGGTTATTTATGATAATTTAATCATTGCTCTAAAAAGAGATACTTTTTTTTTACATTTAAAATTTTATTAAAATTTATTTCCTTTCTCATAACAGATTTTTTTATGTTTAATAATAGAAATCTTTCGAATAAATAATATTATAATATATGTTTTTATTAAATAGTAGCTTATTATGAAGTTATAGAACATAAGTGTACCGTCATCAATATATTTTGTGTTATAAGATTAGTGGGATTGATGAAAATACTTTAAGCATTTATCGTTTGTTAATTAATGAAAGATTTCCTAATTTTGTAATTGTCCATTAAATTAATTAAAATTTAAACACAGAAACAAATTATTTTTTCTTTATTATTTAAAGTCATTTTTTTCATTATTACACAACATTTTGTTGATATTTACATCGTAATATTGACATTTTTAATTACAAAATTAAAAGAGCCTTCCCAGCCTATGTCTCTTTACTCACTGTCAAGTAAGTTCAAAAACGTTTAATTTTTAATTTCTTTCCCTCTATAAAGTCTTATTCGCACGTGGAATGTTATTGACACATGTTCACTTTGTTTCTTTTATCAACATTGTTAAAAGTTACTACTTTTAAAGAGAACTATTATAATAAAATTATTTTTCGTTGGTTTATCGATAAAAAATCCTATTACATGCAAAACTTAAAATTGATAATAATATTCTTTATATAACACAACTATTGAAGTTGACTGCAACAATTCAATTGATTAACATTTGAAGAGTTTCTGTAGTTTGAATATTCATAAATAGTCGAATTATGTTAACTTTAAAACTTAGTAAAATATTACAAATTTAAATTACCTATCTCATCTAAGCACCATCGTTTTTCTGGGCTGTACAAAAATGTTCGCCAAACATAAATAATGACGATTATGCAACTAAAGAAAGTCTTAAAATCATTGAACGTCAAATATTTAAATTTAAGAATTAACAATATTTAAAATGAATTATTTACTGTAAGGTTTTTTGAAAAAAAAAAAATTTAGAACGTTTTATGACATAATAAACGTAAGAACCAAAACTTGGTGTGACAGGTTAGGCGCACATTTTCGTATAGCTTAAGAGGAGGCTGTTTTTGATGAGATTTCACGTTTTTGTGTCCATATCAACTGAAAATTAATATTGAAATAACTTCCCACTGGGAAACTAAATATATTCATTTATTTAAAAAATACTTTAATCATTTGTATGTTCAGACTAAAGCAAGAATAACTTGTTACCAATTTTATAATCCAGTAGTGAGAGAACTTTAAGGCCATTTAAAACTCTGATCACCAACTTGATAAAAAAACATATGATTACTCCATGAATAAACTCTCATTTTACTCAATTTTAGCGCAACAAAATTTTGTCAATTTCGTATATTATGAATGAAGCAGTGATGATACTTAATAGTATGCTCAATCGACACCCAACCATTGCTTTCTTTGCAAATTCTCGATTTCAACGCATATATATGTTAGAATAAGGAAAATATTTCAATTTTAAAAAACATAACCTACAAAAGTCATCTTATAACTTGTATAGAGACACGGTAGTGCTTCGTAGTGACGTAAGGGCAAAATGGCAGCGATTATGACGATTTATGATTGGTGCACGAGACACTACTAAATAAACATGTTTCGTGATTCTT